CCAACAAATCCCCAAGACAGTGGAATGAGTCGTACACGACTTTGAAGAGAGAGAATAGCTGGTTCCAGCCTTTGGAACACAATTCCTTGTACGCCCAGCAGTTAATGATTATACTGTACAATGCCGCAGTTACGTTAGAGCACATGATGCAACATGTAATGACCCTTAAAGGAATTGTATAAAACAAAAATAGACTGGGAGAATTGGAAAGCGTTTGCATTTTTACATTACCGCTTACCGGTACAATTCATATAAAAAGTATTTGGTGATGACCTTGAATATAAATGCTTTAACACCAATATCCTGTGAATAAATCCGTCGAGTGTTTTGACAAAATCTGATTTCCGATACTCGTGGGTTTTCAGGTGAACACAGAAGCGCGTACTTCAATTGAGTTCACTATTTTGATACCCTTATTCAGTTTTGTTGACTTCCGGGAGAATCAAGAGTCACATTGCGCAACAACGTCAACCCGCGCGGGACTTAACTACCTGAGAGTTCCCCATCACGTATCTATCTAGTTCGGTGGAAGATGGCCTCATTCCTTCTCTGTCCAGTCGGAACACTGTTCAAACCTCGAAGTTTGTACCACCGGTTTTGCAGCTTCCTCCTCTTAGCAGAACAGCGCACAATGCAAATTATCGTTCGGAGTAGTAAATGTTAGGTGCGTCGACCTGTAGTGCACTTCGTTCTGACGTCCAACTAAAAAAGAGACCATTTCACAGTAATACTGCAGAAACAAGAACGATTCATAATATTTTAGGTAGCCATTAACTAATCGACGGCCAGTGCACAATTGCACTGAGAAAAACTTGGAACAAAGTGAGCGACACTTCCAGCCGCACGAGCTGAAGAATGCAAACTTATACCTGAATCAAAAATGGGTCAAAAGTTCACTGAAGCTCTTCGGTTTGGAAAATTGAAACGATAAGAATCTCACGGATACCTGCGCGAAGTTTCAGAGCAATGCAGTTCTTCTCCTCAGGTCAGTCACGAGCGTTGACACAAATCACCGCGCGATCGCATTCTTGCGGACCGCCCAGTTCCACTTCATGGACGAGATGTGAAATCTTCCAACAGAGAAGCTATCGGTGAATTGACTCACTCAGTCTTAGTCATTCACACACGAACCGCTCCAAAACAGAAATTCTATACTGAGAACAGCAGCTGTACTCACTGTACGACCAGAACGGTGTGTGTGCACCCACACGACTACAGACAACCGCCTGACAAGTTGGAATCACCCACAAGCGAGCATGCACAAATATGCACACCTACCAGAAGAAAAGTCAACGAATACTACTGCTCTACACACACACACACCAAGACAGGAATGGTAACAGCGGCAACCAGTCGCATAAATGACGAAACTTGTGTGGCATCCCAACGAGGCACAGACACAGTAACAACAACAACAGCGAAAACAACACAAAGCACACCATTCACAATCCGATGTGAACATTGCCACATGCACACGCACGTGTGTGCTGCGCACACGGTCAAGTGACTCGAAACAGCACTTGCGAAGTGAAGCGGAACAGACGACAATCGCATAAAAGTGGCATTGATCAAATCACCTGTCTAACTAACTTGAATTTTCTTCAATATTCACCACGGTCGTACCGCATTGGCTGTTGTTCACCACAACTGGCTGTGGTCATAATTGAGTGAAACCCGAGTTGCTGAGACTGTGAACCCCTGGAGGAATAGTCGAGAACAAAAGCATAGAATAGTGTAGAGAAATAGGTGTGATAATACTTGGTGTCTGGTGTGTGTGATCTTGCATGGCCATTCATTGCCTGGGGTGCGAAGAAAGCACGTTGGAACGGGTGGGTAGTAGTAGTTACTAACGGGTAGAATACAAGATCGGGACTTTTTGTCGGTTTGTTCGACCGGGGTGCGAACATGGAAACAATCAGACAGACGAACCTGCGGGCGGTATACAGGACTGCAAGTGTGTGAAATTGTACAAAAAATGAAACAATAGGATATCGCGATGATACAACAGGCTACTATTACGTTTTGGAGTGATGAATAGGGAGAAAGAAAGACCGGCAAAAG